AGAAAAAAACAACAAAGGAAAGAAAAGAAAATCCTAAAAGCTACCTAGAAGACTACGCTTTAATAGCTTGGACATCTCACAACTACTCGGTCGTCACACCTTCAGCAGCCCTGGTGTTTTCAGCAACGGCATCCTTCGACTTTTTACCCTCGGTTGCTCCAGCTTGAGCACCAACTCCTTCAACTACTTCACCGATAGAAGACTCAAAAGTAAAAGCAAGCAAGTCTTCTAGAGAAATAGAGAATGTCTTGAAGTCTTTACCGGAAAACTTAAAGTCAGATGGCTGCCCATAAAGATGATCTACATAGCCCAGCTTGTAGAAATCAGCTTGATTCTGAGTAAGCAAAACCATCCTTTTCACCCATCAACTACTCGTTTTCCTCAAGCAGGCAAACACGAACTCGCCGCAGCTCCTCAATTTCCTTCTTCAGATTGTCGTTGGTCTTCAAAACATTTTGAAGTTCCAACACTTGAGGTTCAAGCCTGTCAACAATCTTTTTCTAGTGGATCACTTGGTTGTAAGTAGCAATTAATTCTTCATCCTTTGCATAAGTAGCGGAGCGAAATTCAGAGATGGAACACTCAAGATCTTGAATCTGAGGTATGTAACGCTCGATTTCCTTCTCTGCACTTTCATACTTTACTTGGATCGCATCAAGCCTAGTCTTCAAATCTATGATCTCTTAGCGAGCGGCCTCAAGCTACAGAAAAGTGGGGGCGGAAATATTAGATTCCTTTAAAGCAGCAAGCTCAGACTCCAATTTCTTGATTTTTTCGACCGAGGAGTAAGCTTCGACAGCCATGGTTCTTGCTATCTCTTTAGCAGCCTTGGTATCCTCTTGGTCAAGGAACATAGACTTGGCTACCAGAATTGTTGTTTTCTGCATCATGGCTGGCAAAGCAGTCTTCCTGTAATCGGGTGTGTGCTTCGCGAAAAAACTTGACCAACAATCTCTTTGACGCCATCAACAAACTTGGCACATATATCCATGTCTTCAAGAAGATCTGGTTTCAAAAACGCGCAAATCTCAGCAGCTTCCCCAGAAACAGCCTTGGTGGATTCTTTAAGCCTGCCTGAACGAGCAGTTTCCTTCTTATCAGCAGACGAGTTGGTTGCAGCAGCGGAAGAAGTAGGTTTTGGCGCCATTTTAGCAGGCAGGGACACCTTATCACTCCTCATAGTAGCAAGCCTCTTCAAGGGTGAGCCAGACTTAGCCTCAAACAGACGTTTTGGCACAAACTTCGGTACGAGAGGCACGGAGGAACTTCTGCACTGGGCAATTTTTTCAGCAATTGAGCTAGCAGCCTTCGAAGCAATAGGCGTTACCGGTACACATGTAACAGTTCGTTCTTTCTCACCCTTAGAGGAAGTCAAGTCAATCACAATCTTGGGAACAGCCGGAGAATCCCCACGAGCAGTCTTCGTTTTCATCTTAGCATGCATCTCTTAAGCAGCGGAGAATGTTTCTTTTTCCCACCTTCGTTGATAGTAGGCTCCATCACAGTGATAGGACGAGCCATCGTGTCTGCCTTGATCCGTTTTATTTCTTCTTTTGGGGGCAGCTCACCTTTTTCACTACGAAGAGGACTGAGCAGCCAACGCCACTCACAATATTTGGAAGGGATACCCAGATCGACATGTACTTTTTTCATGTCTGGAGAAACCTTAGGAGTTGAGCCGAATTCCGAATCTAAAAAAAAAAACAACAACGGAAGACAATCAAAAAATTGAAAAGTAACTTGACACTAAAAAGCAAAAAGCAGCCGAGAAGGTTAAGCAGCCTGCTTACCAGATATGAAGACCGTTGACACACGCAGCTCGGGGGAAGAATCAGACTCCCATTCTCCACTTATCTCCAAAGTCTCTTTGGCCAAGTCATGATCTCCTTTGCTTAAATTATCAAAAAGCTTATGACGATATCGTAGTTGCCCAACTCCATCAATGCGACCTATGTCAAAGAAATACCAAAATTCGTTGGTGGTTAGTCCCAAGTTAAAGAATTGGCTCAAATTGTGGAACCCTACCATCACTCGGACCGCATTCGGGGAACATTGGGCAGGCACACATTTCATGGAGCAGAGCACTTCTTGGAAGAAGCGCGGCATAGGGAAAGTAAACCCTAACACAAAATAGTAAGGATGGAACTTGATAGCTCTCCGAGTTCCACTGCATGGTTCCCGGTTGCTACCATCCTTAACTCGCCTCACACGAACTCCCGACGGAATGGCATGCCAATACGCTTCAAGAAAATCTCTAAACAAATCGTCGGAGCTACTCTTGAGGTGAGCAACTTTGAAGTAGCCAACCTTGCTCAAAGACCCGCCTTGACGATACAACGGGGGCACACCATCATCATTCTTGTGGCTCGAGGAAGACATGCTTGAAAATTCTACAAAAGTACAAGGAAGATTTGTTAGAGAGTTGTTTTCAAAAAAAAAAAAAAAAGCTCTCGGCAAAAAAAAAAAAAAATATATGAATGACGGCCGCAGGACCTAGCAAACCCGCCAGGCCCCACGCCCTGGCTTGCTTCAATGCACAACAGCGCCTAGCGCCCAACAAAAGCAAGAAAAAAAAAATGTTTCACCTACGGCATAGCCATGCCGAGGTTCCCAAAATATCCAATCACCGGTCCTTAATTCTCATCAAGCTAAATTTCAAGCCCCAAAGATTCAAGAAAATCAAGAAGACAAGAAAATTAATTTTTTCTTACCTAGAAGCAACGAGAAGACGAAGCACGCAACGAAAGACGATCCTTTACACGGGCAAGACGTAGAAGATTGCAAGAGGAGGGGGAACGAATATCCTCTAAGCTCTCTTTCTCTCTTGTAAGGTTGAATAAGTTTCTCTCTAAAAGTTGATTTAATAATCCACTTAAGGTAGACTTAAATAAGCTTTGAGGAAATTTATTTCCTTTTTCTAGAAGGATTTAATTTCCTATTAAAAGAGAGAATCAACAACAAAATAGGAAGCAATTCAATGTTTCCTAAAGAAAGAAAATCTCTACACATGTTGCCCTTTTCTGCAAGCAGCCCAACATGTGTGGGGGCATTTGTGGAGCCAAAAATATTCACTAGGCGCCACGTGGATTTTTGGACAAAAGAGGACAACAATACCCTTGAGGCATACCGGGACTCCTACGCGCGAGCAATGGACAATCATCTTTCAACCAAGTCAAAAATGCCCAAAATAGGTAACAATTTAAAGACTATTTCATCAAATCCTTTCTATAAGGTAATTCCCAAAACCTAATTTATTTAATATGTTTTATATCCCTTATTTAGCTAATCAATTAGCTAAATAATATATTCCTTTCAAATTTCCTAAAAATTGACTAATTAAGGGATTAATTACCTAATCAATCCCTTAATTACCAAATTGAAACACCCATTCAAACCTAAAAGTCACTAGAGGGTCGGCTATCCCCATTTCAAAACCTAATCCATCACCTTTTTCAACCTTTTTCACCATTTCTTTCTTTTTATTAGCCAATAAATTCCATAACCACCAAAACATTTCCGTTTATGTTTAATTAGTCAATTAACTGCCTAATTAAACCAAAACAAAACCTAAAAACCCTACTAAGTGGCTGGCCACATTCCTCTCTAAAGTGAACCAACCTAGCCCTATAAATAGGCTCCTATTTTCACCAAATATTCATTCCAATTCTCTTACAAAAAATCTTAAATACTCTAAACAATATTTCTCTCTAAAATTCTAACTTTAGCATCAGAGGTTCTTCAACTAAAGCCCCCCCATTCATCATGGGCGCGTGAGAATTTTGGCCTTAACCTAAGGTGCTAGTTGTTTTGTAGGTGCAAAATCGTCCAAGATCAAGGAGAAGAAAATTTGCATCCACAACCTTATTTCTAAAATAATGGAGCAACGCTCCTATTTATAGGGATAGGAGGCGGCTGCTCAAAGGCTCTAATTAGTTGAAACTGAAGCAGCTTAAATACATAGGGGCTAAGTCTTTGATTCGTCCAATCAGAAAGAGACCAATATATAGCAACAATGTATGCCTTTGCTAAAGTTTACAAGGCATATCTACTGAAGATATCTTGGACGCGATAAGAATTAAAAGAAGTCAGTTACAATGAAAAAGGGATATGTTTTGTAGGTTATTTAGTCCAATTTGGATTGGCCATGCAAGTAAGAAAATGAGCCTACAAATTGGTAAAGCTTAAGATAGTAGGTAATGTCTAACTAAATTAAAAGCCTACTAATATTGATGTGTCGAACCAAAAGATGAAACAATCTAAAATAAGTTCTCATATGGCTCCTTCAAGCTGAAAAAAAAAATTCTAAAAATACGGGTTCTCACATTAACAAATTCATAATAATATACGCACTGAAAAAGAAAAAATACAAAATTGAAATCAACATAATAAAAAAATGCTGACAAATAAATAACATAAATAAAATGAAAGAACAAACTATTATGAGATAACTCAACCAATAATGTCTTGCTAAGTCAAAAAAATGTGAGAGATGAAACTCAACCACTAACAATGGAATCAAATGATTTTTAGTTAAGAAGAATAAGTTTGAAATCTCCAATTGGGTTAGATCTACCAAGTACAAAATTAATCATGGGAGAAATGTCAATTTTTCTCAACCATTTGTCCTTTGTTTATAATCAATACATGCTAAAAATACACAAAATGTTTTGTGAACGATAGAGTCGTGCTCGATGCCTAATTGTAATAGCATAAGTACATGTCATGTTCCGACCTCCAAATAAAGACTATTCACGAGTTGGGGTGTGACTTGTGAGCCATATCTTAGCTATATAAAAATCCTATATAATAAAACTCAACCGGGGTGGGCAATGTGGATGACCAGTGCGTGGACATTTTTGCCCCTCGCTTTTTCCTCTGGTTGTTCTTCTCTTCGATCTTTGGGGTGCAAAAATCACGGTTTTGTCCATGTTAGACACGTGTTGATCATCAGCTGCTCAACCTTTTTCTACTTTTTTTCTCTTTTTATTCCTTGCTCTTTCAATTTTTCTTCATTTATTTTCTCGACTTCTACCGCTCTCCCCTATCATTTTCTGCCATTTTTGAACCCTTGGTGCCTTTTCTTTTGCTGATCTTTGTGTTTGCCGGTGTGGAGTCACTTTGTTGGGGGAAAATTCGTCAACTGGTAGCTTATTTGGGTTGGTGGGTTGGGTTCCACGGATCTTGAACTTGCAGAAGCTAAATTCTCCTGGTGAGTTCTTTGCTTTTCTTAGTGCAAGAGTTTGATTTTCTTTTCTGTGATTTTCAATTCTGCCAATGGGTTTCCTATTTAGATATGTGCTTTCAAAATTTGGGGGTTTTGTTGTTGTCCTCAGTTTTTGGGTATGAGATTTCGATTTTGTTTTGTATGGATTTTTTTCTGTGGTTTTGTTCTTCATTTCCTTGGAAACTAATCTTTGGTTGTGTTGTGCTTTTGTGTGCAGGTTTGGAAGCTGTGTATGTTAAAGGTGAGTGTTTTTGCGTTCTTCCTTTTGGGGTTTTGCACATTTTTTATTTTTGTGTGTTGTAAGCCTTGATTGAGCACCATAAGATGTCAACAACAACAACAACAAAGCCTTTTCCCACTAAGTGGGGTCGGCTATATGAATCCTAGAACGCCATTGCGCTCGGTTTTGTGTCATGTCCTCCGTTAGATCCAAGTACTCAAGTCTTTTCTTAGGGTCTCTTCCAAAGTTTTCCTAGGTCTTCCTCTACCCCTTCGGCCCTGAACCTCTGTCTCGTAGTCACATTTTCGAACCGGAGCGTCAGTAGGCCTTCTTTGCACATGTCCAAACCACCGGAACCGATTTTCTCTCATATTTCCTTCAATTTTGGCTACTCCTACTTTACCTCGGATAACCTCATTCCCAATCTTATCCTTTCTCGTGTGCCCATACATCCCACGAAGCATCCTCATCTCCGCTACACCCATTTTTGTGTACGTGTTGATGCTTCACCGCCCAACATTTTGTGCCATACAACATCGATGGCCTTATTGCCGTCCTATAAAATTTTCCCTTGAGCTTCAGTGGCCTACGACGGTCACACAACACGCCGGATGCACTCTTACACTTCATCCATCCAGCTTGTATTCTATGGTTGAGATCTCCATCTAATTCTCCGTTCTCTTGCAAGATAGATCCTAGGTAGCGAAAACGGTCACTTTTTGTGATCTCGCTAGATTGCTCCGGTCATTAGTGTGGATAAGTATATAAATGGATAGAGATAGGAAAGCAAACACAAGATGTACGTGGTTCACCCAGATTGGCTACGTCCACGGAATAGAGGAGTTCTCATTAATTGTGAAGGGTTTACACAAAAGCAAACACAAGATGTACGTGGTTCACCCAGATTGGCTACGTCCACGGAATAGAGGAGTTCTCATTAATTGTGAAGGGTTTACACAAGTACATAGGTTCAAGCTCTCCTTTAGTGAGTACAAGTGAATGATTTAGTACAAATGACATTAGGAAATATTGTGGGAGAATGATCTCGTAAGCCACGAAACTTCTAAGTACCGGAGTGTGGTATCGTCTTGACTTGCCTTATCTGTCTCATAGGTAGATGTGGCATCTTCTCTGGAAGTACTCTTCCTCCATCCAGGGGTGGTATCTGTAACTGGTGGAGATGCACAAGGTAATGTATCAATTTCACTTGAAGCTTACTTGTAGTTTCAGGCTTGGTCAAGCGCGATACAAACCATGTAGTAGGAGTCCCCCAAGTCGCCGAGCTAGGGGATCTGCTGAAAGAGGTGACAGACAAGGTAAGCAATCAGAGCTCCGGCTGATTGTTCACATTCTCCCTATCTTGCAGGCAGCATGAAGGATAAAGAGAAGAAAAATGAGAAGAGATGATATGGGATACTTTTGCTTTTGAAGAAGTAACTTTCCACAGGCTTATTCTTGAACTGGGCTGGAGGGTTTTCTGGTTTCCTCCAGAGTATAAGGCCGACTGAAGAATTTGAGGGTCAAAACAAGTCCATCAAATCTAGAGTACGTTCGACCCTGCTGATATGGGATACTTTTGCTTTTGACAGAGTAGTGGATGTATCGGCACGTGTGCTGTTACGCTTGTCTCCACATGCTTCCTTGTATCCTTCTCACTTGCCCTATCTGTTCCTCAGGCAGATGCGGTATCTTCCCTGGAAGCATAAGATGTTGAAGATGAGTACTCGAGAGCAATGCCAGGTAAGTAATCAGGTAAGGGGTTCCAGGCAGTCAGTTCCTGGCTGGAAGCTTGATTCCAAGTGCTGACTGATTGCTCTCTTTCTCCTTGTCTTGCAGGTAAGAACAAGGCCAAAGGAAAAGACAGGGAAAAAGCATGATATGGGATACTCTTGCTTTTAACCCTGATGATATGAGATATTCTTGCTCTAGTATAGCTTGTTTACAGAGGTATTATCGGGGGGAAAGAAAGCTGAATATTTCGAAAGGCTTCGTTGGGAGTGCCCTCTCAGATAAGAGAAAGGGTTGAGCATTTTTGCAGGTCTGCCTGTCCGTTAGGGATGGAGGTCGACATATATAGGAGTCTCCCTAACATCAAGTAATAATGCTATTCCTTTACCCTGCTTGGTTCATAGCACGGTAGTGGGAGCTGCCAGCTTCACATGTTTTAACTCTGTCAGAGCACTTTGAAAAAGTGGTCTGTGGTATCTGGAAAGCTGATGTTGCGTGTGAAGATTACAGACAAGCTTTATCCAAGGAGATCCAGCTCTTGATATTGGAAAAGTGGTGCCTCTTCGATTTTCGAACAAGCAATCCTGTTAGGGATCTGGCTCTCGAGATTCGGAGAACGATGCCTCTTCGATTTTTGAGAAAGCAATCCAGCTGGGGGTCTGGATCTCGAGATTCGGAGAGCGGTGTCTCTTCGATTTTTGAGAAAGTAATCATGTTGGGAGTCTGGCTCTCGAGATTCGGAGGGCGGTGCCTCTTCGATTTTGGAGCAAGCAATCTTGTTGGGAGTGTTTTCTCGAATGTGAGTAAAGGTTGGACGTGTTTGCTAGTCTACCTTGCCACGAAGCACAGAGGTTGACACACAGGGACTTTCCAATTATCCAGCAGTGGTACTGTTCCTTGACCCTCTCTTCGATTTTTGAGAAAGTAATCATGTTGGGAGTCTGGCTCTCGAGATTCGAGGGCGGTGCCTCTTCGATTTTGGAGCAAGCAATCTTGTTGGGAGTGTTTTCTCGAATGTGAGTAAAGGTTGGGCATGTTTGCTAGTCTACCTTGCCACGAAGCACAAAGGTTGACACACAGGGACTTTCCAATTATCCAGCAGTGGTACTGTTCCTTTACCCTCTCTTCGATTTTTGAGAAAGTAATCATGTTGGGAGTCTGGCTCTCGAGATTCGGAGGGCGGTGCCTCTTCAATTTTGGAGCAAGCAATCTTGTTGGGAGTGTTTTCTCGAATGTGAGTACAGGTTGGGCATGTTTGCTAGTCTACCTTGCCACGAAGCACAGAGGTTGACACACCGGGACTTTCCAATTATCCAGCAGCGGTACTGTTCCTTTACCCTTGTGGGTAATAATATAGTAGCTAGACCTTCAAAATTTATGTGTTTAAACTTTGTTAGTGTTGTTTCTTTGCAATTCTTTTACCCTTCTTGGTCAGAGCGATGTAGTGGGAGCTGCAAGCTTCACGTGCCTCAACTTTGTCATAGAACTTTGGCAAAGTTATCTGTGGTACCCATGAGCTACTGTTGCGTGTGGGAAGTAGGTGATTGAACAGTACGATTCATGTGCTTTCTACTTCTTCAGAAATCTTCGACAGAATGCCCATAATTTCCGCAAAGCTGAGTGTGCGTGTGACAGGTGCTGACAAGGCTGGAAAAGTAGGTGCCTCTTCGATTTCTGAGATCGGCCCTCGTGGTCTCTGAGCAGCCCAGCTTTTGAGAAAGCAAGCCTCTTCGATTTCTGAGATCGGCCTTCGTGGTCTTTGAGCAGCCCAGCTTTTGAGAAAGCAAACGCCTCTTCGATTTCTGAGATCGACCCTCGTGGTCTCTGAGCAGCCCAGCTTTTGAGAAAGCAAACGCCTCTTCGATTTCTGAGCAGGCGCCTCTTCGATTTCTGAAGCTTCGTCGAGTGCAGATTTTTATAGGGGCTGACATTAAGTTCCAAAGCACACTTGAATATCCACCAGTAGAAGCTCCATTCTTACACTTCTAAGATCTTGATTTGTCCGACCTCTTCTCTCTTCAACACCTTTGAAAATGTCTGGCCCCTCCGACCGTCGTTTTGACTTGAACCTTGTTGAAAAGGCAGCCCCGCCTTCTCCAGACAACATATGGCGCCCATCATTCGTCTCCCCTACTGGTCCTCTTACCGTTGGGGATTCCGTGATGAAGAATGATATGACTGCTGTGGTAGTGGCCAGGAACCTTCTCACTCCCAAAGATAACAGACTACTTTCCAAACGGTCTGATGAGTTGGCTGTTAAGGATTCTCTGGCTCTCAGTGTTCAGTGTGCAGGTTCTGTGTCTAATATGGCCCAACGCCTATTTGCTCGAACCCGCCAAGTTGAATCATTGGCGGCTGAAGTGATGAGTCTCAAACAGGAGATTAGAGGGCTCAAGCATGAGAATAAACAGTTGCACCGGCTCGCACATGACTATGCTACAAACATGAAGAGGAAGCTTGACCAGATGAAGGAATCTGATGGTCAGGTTTTACTTGATCATCAGAGATTTGTGGGTTTGTTCCAAAGGCATTTATTGCCTTCGTCTTCTGGGGCTGTACCGCGTAATGAAGCTCCAAATGATCAACCTCTGATGCCTCATCCTTTTAGGGTTTTGTCCAGTACTGAGGCTCCGAATGATCCTCCTCCGGTGCCTTCTCTTTCTGGGGCTCTACCGACTGCTGAGACTTCTCCTAAGCAACCTTTGTGAAGGCTCCCTCTTGTTTGTTTATTTTGACTCAAGTATATGTACATATTTGTAACTTATCGGGGATATCAATAAATAAGCTTTCCTTCATTTCAACGTATTGTGTTAAATACACCAAAGCCTTCTTCGCTAAGTTATTTGAATTTTCTTTTGTTGAAGCTTGTATGTTGAAGCTTTGTGAGTGGAGCATATAGGTTGAGGTAGTGTTCCCTTAATTTCCCGAGTGAGGAAAACTTCTTGGTTGGAGACTTGGAAAATCCAAGTCACTGAGTGGGATCGGCTATATGAATCTTAGAACGCCATTGTGTTCTGTCATGTGTCATGTCCTCCGTTAGATCCAAGTACTCTAAGTCTTTTCTTAGGGTCTCTTCCAAAGTTTTCCTAGGTCTTCCTCTGCCCCTACGGCCCTGAACCTCTGTCCCATAGTCGCATCTTCTAATCGGAGCGTCAGTAGGCCTTCTTTGCACATGTCCAAACCACCGTAACCGATTTTCTTTCATCTTTCCTTCAATTTCGGCTACTCCTACTTTACCCCGGATAGCCTCATTCCTAATCTTATCCTTTCTCGTGTGCCCACACATCCAACGAAGCATCCTCATCTCCGCTACACCCATTTTGTGTACGTGTTGATGCTTCACCGCCCAACATTCTGTGCCATACAGCATCGCCGGCCTTATTGCCGTCCTATAAAATTTTCCCTTGAGCTTCAGTGGCATACGGCACGCCGGATGCACTCTTCCACTTCATCCATCCAGCTTGTATTCTATGGTTGAGATCTCCATCTAATTCTCCGTTCTTTTGCAAGATAGATCCTAGGTAACGAAAACGGTCGCTCTTTGGTATTTCTTGATCTCCGATCCTCACCCCTAACTCGTTTTGGCCTCCATTTGCACTGAACTTGCACTCCATATATTCTGTCTTTGATCGGCTTAGGCGAAGACCTTTAGATTCCAACACTTCTCTCCAAAGGTTAAGCTTTGCATTTACCCATTCCTGAGTTTCATCTATCAACACTATATCGTCTGCGAAAAGCATACACCAAGGAATATCACCTTGAATATGTCCTGTTAACTCATCCATTACCAACGCAAAAAGGTAAGGACTTAAGGATGAGCCTTGATGTAATCCTACAGTTATGGGAAAGCTTTCGGTTTGTTCTTCATGAGTTCTTACGGCAGTCTTTGCTCCTTCATACATATCCTGTATAGCTTGGATATATGCTACTCGTACTCCTTTCTTCTCTAAAATCCTCCAAAGAATGTCTCTTGGGACCCTATCATACGCTTTTTCCAAATCTATAAAGACCATGTGTAAATCCTTTTTCCCATTTCTATATCTTTCCATCAATCTTTGTAAGAGATAGATTGCCTCCATGGTTGAGCGCCCTGGCATGAACCCGAATTGGTTGTCCGAAACCCGTGTCTCTTGCCTCAATCTATGCTCAATGACTCTCTCCCAGAGCTTCATTGTATGACTCATTAGCTTTAATACCCCTATAGTTCATGCAATTTTGTACATCGCCCTTATTCTTGTAGATAGGCACCAAAGTGCTCATTCGCCACTCATTCGGCATCTTCTTCGTTTTCAAAATCCTATTGAAAAGGTTAGTGAGCCATGTTATACCTGTCTCTCCCAAAACTTTCCACATTTCGATTGGTATATCGTCTGGGCCTACTGCTTTTCTATGCTTCATCTTCTTCAAAGCTACACCCACTTCTTCCTTCCGGATTCTACGATAAAAAGAGTAGTTTCTACACTCTTCTGAGTTACTCAACTCCCCTAAAGAAGCACTCCTTTCATGTCCTTCATTGAAAAGATTATGAAAATAACTTTTCCATCTGTCTTTAACCGCGTTCTTTGTAGCAAGAACCTTTCCATCCTCATCCTTGATGCACCTCACTTGGTTTAGGTCTCTTGTCTTCTTGTCCCTTGCTCTAGCTAGTTTATAGATATCCAACTCTCCTTCTTTGGTATCTAGTCGCTTATACATATCGTCATAAGCCGCTAACTTAGCTTCTCATTATTCACCAAGCTCTTCCTATCAAGAAGAACAACAACCTGAGAAAAACATATAATGGATTCCCAATATAAAAATTTATTCTCTATATATAAATTTAGGGTGTGTGTGTAAAGCTTGTCACTTAGATTCAATTAGGATTTTAGATAAAAAAAAATTATTATCAATCACATCGAGCACCATAAGATGTGATTGATAATAATTTTTTATCTAAAATCCTAATTGAATCTAAGTGACAAGCTTTACACACACCCTAAATTTATATATAGAGAATAAATTTTTATATTGGGAATCCATTATATGTTTTTCTCAGGTTGTTGTTCTTCTTGATAGGAAGAGCTTGGTGAATAATGGTTTCTTGTTTGTTTTCAGAACTGTGATATATGTGTATTCGTGTTTTTGTTTACGTTTTCTACCTTTTAAGAGATTTTAAGGTTTTGATCTTGTTGTTTTTACGTTTTTTTGCTTTGGAAGGCTGAGTTGTTTCTGTTTATTTTGCATTTATCAAAATTAAACTAGGGGAAATTGGTCTTTGTGTTCTCCAAAATCTTTAGAGACTACATTTGGCTAAATTTTGTGGATTTCTTTTGATCTATGTAGCAATTCTTTACGTTACTTTTTGTGGATCTTATATGCTTGGATGGTGTTTAACTAATAGGCAATTTACTCTGAGGTAGAATGAGAGAAAAGTGAAGTATACGAATCAGCTAGAAAGCAAGGTGTGCCTATTTCAAACCCAAGCAAGCGCCCTTTCAGGATACGTCACTTTATTACAGGTATAAAAGATGTTATTGATTGTTTTTCTTTGTTTGTTAGTTGGAATCAAATCGTGGTTAATGATATTCAATTGATGGAGAATGTGACCTGATTACCATTGAAATTTGATTGAATTTTTTTGTGATGATTCAGACTTAACAAAGTGATGCATCAATTTTATAGGTTTAATTTTAAAGGCTAAAGAAGAACATGTTAAAATCTCTGTATTGGTTTGTTAATTAGCCAGAGTGATCAATTGATTTTATAGTTTTGTTTTTATTTATTGAAGAAGGATATATTAAAATCTCTGTATTGCTTTGTTAATTAGCAAACTAAGACCTATGCGTTTGGATCTATTAAAATCTTTGTATTGATTTGTTAATTAGCAAACTAACATTTGCGAGTTTGGGATTTCAAAATGAATTCCTTGACATGTGCTAATGAAAGTGATGAGGGTTTTAACTTGTGACGACATGCTTATACTGAGAAAGAACCTTTGTCAACGTTGGTGTAACTGTTTTGGTTTTATGAGTGTATCAAGCTTTTGGGATATGGTGTTGTTTTGGTCTCTCACCTAGATTTTTGACCGTATTTTCCTGTGGTGGTTTCGTGGATGTCGTTTCGATTGAACAATGTTATATGGTTTGATTTTATAAGGTGGGGAGATTGTCATAGCCCGTCCCAGAGATGTACGTTAATTATTTATCGGAGGTGTGAAAAGTCAGAATTACCCCTGGACGTTGAGTTGTATTATTGGTTTAATTGTGTTTTTGGACCAATATTCTTAAATCCTAATTGTTTGGAACCAATTAGGATTAGAGTTTGGTGTATTGTGGGTTGTTGACTATTTTGGACCACACATCACTCCTCCATTCTCTCTCTCACTCCCGTGCACTCTCTCTCTCTCGGTTTCACTCTCTCTCTCTCTCTCCTTCGAACTCGTACGGACAATCACCTAAAACCCTTGAAACTTCACGGATCGTGGTCAAAGTTGGCACCATTGTGTTTGTGAAGCTCAAACGAGTCAATTGGTACCCATTTCAGGTAAGGATACCTTCGAAAACCCTAGTTTTTTATAACCCCCGATTTGTGCACTGTTCATGCACACGTAATTATGGATGTTTTTGGGAATTAAAGCTTGTAGGAAGCTTAGTGAGGTCCTAAGGAAGCTCGGAGTGCTTCGTTTGAAGGTTTTGGACGTCGGGATTGTGTGGACGAAGTTTGGCCAGTTTTTCTTGGAATTCTCTGGTGAGATCCCGTGACTTTTAGAACTTTAAATTAGTATGATTGTGTTCAAGTTAAGAGCTTCATTTTGGTATAAATTGCGTGAAAAATGGTGCAAAAATGAGCAGAAATAGGTAGTTGCAGGTCTGCCCAGAATCCGGCGCGGGTGACACTATTCCGGCGTCTGGAGGTTGAAGATGCCGCTCGTGGGGGGCGCGTTTTGCCGTGCCCTTGCCAGCGCGTGGCACCGCGTGGGAGCTTGAAAAATTTATCTAAAAATTAGGGGATGATCCTGAGGTTGTGTAGGTCACTGTGGTATATTCATATACCTATTTTAAGCAATGTATGAGAAATTATTAGCTAGTTTTGCGTACGTGCTTTAAAATAACGTTTTTATATTTTATCGCATATAGGTGAGGCTTATCCCGAGGACGAGCGTATCTACGAGCGACTCGGGGGTTATGATCTTTCGACATACCAGTGAGGGGGCTTTTGTTTTTAGTATATACTTGTATATTTGATATATTTCCCAGAAATGCATTTTTAAGGAAAGTATGCTTTGAAATAATATGTCAAATGCTTTTATATTCTGAATATGCATTTCATGGTTGCATATATATAAATGTGGTGTTGTGGAGGCACAGGTAAGTTCAGGTAAATTATATTTGGTTATATGAATCATCGATGATATATGTGACTGAATAATGTTGAGCTCATAAAACTGCACCTAGGGTGATTGTGATTTAGCCAGAGATGTGAAGTACATGCTTGTTTATTTACGTCACCTCCCGCACTATATGCTCATATTGGATCCAACTTAAGTGCACAGTCTTGTCGTACAGACCTTATTTGTGGTTCCAACTCGTAGGTGACTAGCGATTTATCTTCTGGCTATTATGAGAGAATAGAATTGAGCATAATTATATTACACCCAATCTTGTCATACAGACCCCTTTTTAGTGGTTCCAACTTATGTACAGTATATTGCCGTATAGGTCATTATAGTGACTCCGGCTAGATTGACTTTTGAGCTATGAATTCAACCGTACAGACTACCACAGGGGTTCCGACTAACATATCATATTTCTATAAAATCATTCTTATCTGGATTGTTTACTTTGTTATATTTTGGCATGGCATACATATGAATATGATTATGTGAAGCATGAATTAAATTGTTATGATTTCAGATATATATATATATATATATATATATATATATATGCTTATATCTTGATTCTGGGAAAAAATTATACATATTTTACAGCGAGGGGTTAGTATATTGATAAATGAAATGGTTTTGTAAAACATTTGTTTTTGCCTACTCACGTTTTCTGTTTTGCGCCCCTCCAGGTTTTAAGTAAGCTTGCTGTTGGTGGCTTAAGGACGTCGGCAGTTCTGACCTACCTAAATAATAGTAGGACATTCCTGGTACTGTATAACTAGTATTTGTTCTACTGGACTGCACCTAGACTTATGCTCTGATTAGGAGTGTTTACGGTTGTAACTAACTCCTATCACTTCCTGTTTAGTAGTGCACTCTAGTAATTTGGTTTTTTATTATTCGTATATTTCTTATCTTTATCGCTTTCGCACTGTGGACATGGCTACGTCATTCTCACGTGACGGCCATCATGTCTTGATCTCGGTTGAGGTGTGTCACTGGGTGGTTATTTTAAGAATGAACTTGCAGGTTTTATTTTGCTTTTCTATGTTGTGAAAATCATGTGTGGAGTTGTGTTTAGTTTTTATTTGGTGTCTTAACATAATGTGTCTTTTATTGGTAATGAGGTTGGTAATGGTAAGCTTACCATTGTATTTGTTTGTAAGAAACTGATTTTAAAACCGAACTGCTTTAGATATGGTGTTGTTGTGGGTTATTGTCTGAGTGAGTAATGAATGGTATCAGTGTTGGCAAAATGAGAAAAAACAAACTCAGAAGAAATGGTGTGTTTCAAGATTCAACGCAATGATCACCTTATTTGTACAAAAAAAAATGATTGGTGTTATTATGTTTTTTAGGAGATATAATATTTGTGTGTCATATTTTATAAATTGTAGTTTAGATCATAAAAATAGCTGGAAATATATTTGTGTCAAAGGGAAAGAAAAGTATATATGCACCTATTTACAAGTAGCATGGATCAACTGTTTTAGTTGTGTATTTATGTCCTTCTATCGGGTTTTTTCTCCATTAAATGATGATCGAACTTTTGTTTCATTTTTCAAGTGTTTTCCACTTTAAACATCAGCTGAGGATTTGGCTTTACTAATGTTTGCAAACTATAGGTTTCATACTAAATTAACTCCTAAGATTGGTGTTATCGTTGTCTGAGGTATTTACTTTTCAATTTCTGCTAAGTTTTATCTTATGTAAATCCAAATTGCGGCTACATTTGTTTCTTTGAATTTGTTCATCTTCATGTTGTAACAAACTACATTTAAATGGTAAATCCTTTGGTTGATAAGCCAAGTTCACTTTTTTTTTTTTTAACAAATCAGTCTTTTCTTTCGTATTTGTTTTCAAATTTGTATTATGGTGATTCTTAAGTTTGTAAAATTTATGTTCACCTTTAGCAAGTTAAATGGAAACCTTGAAGGCCACCCCTATTGCTTAATTACGTCCCTATGCTAAAGCAAACAAAATAAAGATTCGTGTGTGTAGGGTATGGAAATCAAGCATTCCTGGAACTTTTCAAAAATACATGACATTACACTGTATCGTAGTTGATGAAACAGTCAGTTATCATTGTCTTATAATTTTAATTAGGAATTTTAACAGTGATAGTTATGTCATTGGTTTTCTTTTCGTTTATTAATTTGTTGATTTGTATTTATGTTTTTATAATTTTCTTTTCTGTTTCATTTTTATGCATGCATAAAGGGCTTTATAAATCTTCCTTCTGATGGTTTACGTATTTTCAATGAATCTATTTACTGATTGTGCCAATTTAATCTCTGTATCAAAATATAATTTTTTTTCCTTTTTTTGTTGATTACCTTTTTAATTCTATTTTTTTTCCTGGATGTGATTAATTGTGAAGAACAATGCGGTTGAAGCTTCTCCATCAGACATTGATTATGAAGTCGTTGCCTCAAAGATTCAAGCTGGTGATTGCTACAAAGTCATAAATTTTCGAACGATCAAGATCAGAGGGCAGTATAAAGTCGTGCCACATGATATACCCAACTTATATTCACTTCTAAAACAATGCTTATAATTCTATCTGTTGTCTTTCCGCCCATTCGGTGACATCGGTTTTTCCTGCTAGATTTTAACATGCTTTATCCGCGTCTGAATAGAGATGATATTCTTACAAGTAATATTAAAACATATATATCTATCTGTCTACGTGTGCATCAATTAAAAACATTTATGTTCTTTTTTTTTAATGAAATAAGTTCTGACATAGTTTTTGTGTTAACTTTTCAAATTGTAAGATGTAATTGGCCATCTGACTACGGTCCATCACTTGGAACCAAAACAAATTAATCAAAGAATAGCCCAGAGGTTTGATATGACCATTGAGAATACCAGGTTATTCTTGTCTCAATATTGCAGTTCAAAATTATTAACAACATTTCATTTGTTACGGTGGGAAAAAAAAAATTAATCTTTGTTGTTTATTTGTTTGTTGTACAGAAAAGAGGAGTTGTCTATTACGTTGTGGGAAGATGTTGCAAAAGCTTTTTCTTCTTTATCGGTCCACACAATGTCTTTGCCCATTATCATTGTATTTAAAAGTTTAAAAGTCAAGCTTTATCTAGATAGCTGATTTAACTGAAACCCACTTTTTCTATTTTTATTTTATTATCTTCTTACATTAGTTGCTATACACTATTCTAGTATTTTATCATTATGTAATTTTAGTGTATTACATTCCTATCCCTTATGACAAAGCATTTGTTTTGTTTCTTATCTGTTGGTTACCAACTTTTTCAATGTATTTATTGTGATTTGTGTTTCGTTTTTAGCCATGCATGTTCAAATTATTTTCCCACACTCTTAAACCTATTGATTATAATTTTTCTCGCACTTTTAAACATCTATCGTCAAATTGAATATATTTACTTATCTCTGATATTTCATGCATGTTCAAATTATTTTCCCACACTCTTAAACCTATTGATTATAATTTTTCTCGCACTTTTAAACATCTATCGTCAAATTGAATATATTTACTTATCTCTGATATTTTATTCATGTTTGTTTTATATTTGTTATTATTTTTGGGATCGACAGACAAGGCCGTCTTTAATGGTACTGTTTTCTCACTTTTTTTCATTGACCTGAACATCCTAGACGTTAACTCATACAAATCAATGTGAGTGGACATCTATAATTGTACTTCCTATTTATACCTACAAAGAAACTCATTTGTCAAAATTGGTTACTGTCTTTTTAAACTTATAGGTTCTCAGCCTGTACAAGTATTGCCCCTTTTTCAAGACAAGTGAATGAGGCTGAAGTTTTTGTGTACTGCAAGAAAAGTAGCAATAGATGAGTTGGCCTTTTTAGATCCTGATTTATATAAACAACAACAACAACAAAGCTTTTTCCCACTAAGTGGGGTCGGCTATATGAATCCTAGAACGCCATTGTGCTCGGTTTTGTGTCATGTCCTCCTTTAGATCCAAGTACTCTAAGTCTTTTCTTAGGGTCTCTTCCAAAGTTTTCCTAGGTCTTCCTCTACCCCTTCGGCCCTGAACCTCTATCTCGTAGTCACATCTTCAAACCGGAGCGTCAGTAGACCTTCTTTGCACATGTCCAAACCCATTTTGTGTACGTGTTAATGTTTCACCGCCCAACATTCTGTGCCATACAGCATCGTCGGCCTATAAAATTTTCCCTTGAGCTTAAGTGGCCTACGACGGTCACACAACACGTCGGATGCACTCTTCCACTTCATCCATCCAGCTTGTATTCTATGGTTGAGATCTCCATCTAATTCTCCGTTCTTTTGCAAGATAGATCCTAGGTAGCGAAAACGGTTGCTCTTTGGTATTTTCTGATCTCCGATCCTCACCCCTAACTCATTTTGGCCTCCATTTGCACTAAACTTGCACTCCATATATTCTGTCTTTGATCGGCTTAGGCGAAGACCTTTAGATTCCAACATTTCTCTCCAAAGGTTAAGCTTCGCATTTACCCCTCCTGAGTTTCATCTATCAACACTATATCGTTTGCGAAAAGCATACATCAAGGAATATCATCTTGAATATGTCATGTTAACTCATCCATTACCAACGCAAAAAGGTAAGGACTTAAGGATTGTTGATGCACAAAATCAGTGAGGACTTTGGTACAACAGAAAGTATTAAGTTTGTGATCTTCGCTAGATTGCTCCGGTCATTAGTGTGGATAAGTATGTAAATGGATAGAGACAGGAAAGCAAATACAAGATGTACGTGGTTCACCCAGATTGGCTACGTCCACGGAGTAGAGGAGTTCTCATTAATTGTGAATGGTTTACACAAGTACATAGGTTCAAGCTCTCCTTTAGTGAGTACAAGTGAATGATTTAGTACAAATGACATTAGGAAATGTTGTGGGAGAATGATCTCATAATCATGAAACTTCTAAGTACCGAAGTGTGGTATCGTCTTCACTTGCCTTATCTGTCTCATAGGTAGATGTGGCATCTTCTCTGGAAGTACTCTTCCTCCATCCAGGGGTGGTATCTTTAACTGGTGAAGATGCACAAGGTAATGTATTAATTTCACTTGAAGCTTACTTGTAGTTTTAGGCTTGGTCAAGCGCGATACAAACCATGTAGTAAGAGTCCCCCAAGTCGCCGAGCTAGGGGATCTGCTGAAAGAGGTGACAGACAAGGTAAGCAATAAGAGCTCCAAGCAATCAGTCCCAGATCAGAAGTTTGATTTCGAATTCCGGCTGATTGTTCTCATTCTCCCTATCTTGCAGGCAGCATGAAGGATAAAGAGAAGAAAAAGGAGAATAGATGATATGAGATACTTTTGCTTTTGAAGAAGTAACTTTCCACAAGCTTATTCTTGAACTGGGCTGGAGGGTTTTCTGGTTTCCTCCAGAGTATAAGGCCGACTGAAGAATTTGAGGGTCAACACAAGTCCATCAAATCTAGAGTACGTTTGACCCTGCTGATATGAGATACTTTTGTTGTTGACAAAGTAGTGGATGTATCGGCACGTGTTCTGTTACGCTTGTCTCCACATGCTTCCTTGTATCCTTCTCACTTTCTCTATCTGTTCCTCAGGCAGATCTGGTATCTTCTCTGAAAGCATAAGATGTTGAAGATGAGTACTCGAGAGCAATGCCAAGTAAGTAATCAGGTAAGGGGTTCCAGGCAGTCAGTTCCTGACTGGAAGCTTGATTCCAAGTGCTGACTGATTACTCTCTTTCTCCTTGTCTTGTAGGTAAGAACAAGGCCAAAGGAAAAGACAGGGAAAAAGCATGATATGGGATACTCTTGCTTTTAACCCTGATGATATGAGATATTCTTGCTCTGGTGTAGCTTGTTTGCAGAGGTATTATCGGGGGGAAAGAAAACTGAGTATTTCGAGAGGCTTCGTTGGTCCCTCTCAGATATGAGGAAGGGTTGAGCATTTTTGCAGGTCTGCCTGTCTGTTGAGGATGGAGGTCGACATATATAGGAGTTTCCCTAACAACAAGTAGTAATGCTATTCCTTTACCCTGCTTGGTCATAGCACGGTAGTGAGAGCTGCCAGCTTCACGTGTGTCAGAGTACTTTGAAAAAGTGGTCTGTGGTATCTGGAAAGCTGATGTTGCGTGTGAAGATTACAGACAAGCTTTATCCAAAGAGATCTGGCTCTCGAAGTTGAGAAAGCGGTGCCTCTTCGATTTTCGAACAAGCAATCCTATCGGGGATCTGGCTCTCGAGATTCGGAGAACGGTGCCTCTTTGATTTTTGAGAAAGCAATCCTGCTGGGAGTCTGGCTCTCGAGATTCGGAGAGCGGTGTCTCTTCGATTTTTGAGAAAGTAATCATGTTGGGAGTCTGGCTCTCGAGATTCGGAGGGCGGTGCCTCTTCGATTTTGGAGCAAGCAATCTTATTGGGAGTGTTTTCTCGAATGTGAGTAAAGGTTGGGCATGTTTGCTAGTCTACCTTGCCATGGAGCACAGAGGTTGACACACAGGGACTTTCCAATTATCCAGCAGTGGTGCTGTTCCTTTACCCTTGTGGGTAATAATATGGTAGCTAGACCTTCAAAATTTATATGTCTAAACTTTGTTAGTGTTGTTTCTTTGCTATTCTTTTACCCTTCTTGGTCATAGCGATGTAGTGGGAGCTGCAAGCTTCACGTGTCTAAACTTTGTCAGAGATGTTTGGCAAAGTTATATGTGGTACCCATGAACTGATAGTGCGTGTGGAAAGTGGATGATTGAACAGTAAGATTCACGTGTTTTCTACTTCACTAGAAATCTTTAACAAAATGCCCGTAATTTCAGCAAAGCTGAGTGTGCATGTGACAGGTGTTGACAAGGCTGAAAAAGCAGGTGCCTCTTCGATTTCTGAAATCGGCCCTCGTGGTCTCTGAGCAGCCCAGCTTTTGAGAAAGCAAGCGCCTCTTCGATTTTGAGGTCGGCCTTCGTGGTCTTTGAGCAGCCCAGCTTTTGAGAAAGTAAACGCCTCTTCGATTTATGAGATCGGCCCTCGTGGTCTCTGAGTAGCCCAGCTTTTGAGAAAGTAAACGCCTCTTCGATTTCTGAAGCTCCGTCGAGTGCAGATTTTTATAGAGGCTGACATTAAGTTCCAAAGCACACTTGAATCTCCACCAGTAGAAGCTCCCTTCTTGCACTTCTAAGATCTTGATTTGTCTGACCTCTTATCTCTTCAACACCTTTGAAAATGTCTGGCCCCTCCGACCGTCGTTTTGACTTGAACCTTGTTGAAGAGGCAGCCACGCCTTTTCCAGAACATATGACGCCCATCATTCTTATCCCCTATTGGTCTTCTTACCGTTGGGGATTCTGTGATGAAGAATGATATGACCTCTGCGGTGGTGGCCAGAAACCTTCTCACTCCTAAAGATAACAGACTACTTTCCAAATGGTCTGATGAGTTGGCTGTTAAGGATTCTCTGGCTCTGAGTGTTCAGTGTGCAGGTTATGTGTCTAATATGGCCCAACGCCTATTTGCTCGAACCCGCCAAGTTGAATCATTGGCGGCTGAAGTTATGAGTTTCAAACAAGAGATTAGAGGGCTCAAGCATGAGAATAAACAGTTGCACCGGCTCGCACATGACTATGCTACAAACATGAAGAGGAAGCTTCACCAGATGAAGGAATCTGATGGTCAGGTTTTACTTGATCATCAGCGGTTTGTGGGTTTGTTCCAAAGGCATTTATTGCCTTCATCTTCTGGGGCTGTACCGCATAATGAAGCTCCAAATGATCAACCTTCGATGCCTCTTCCTTCTAGGGTTCTGTCCAGTACTGAGGTTCCGAATGATCCCCCTCCGGTGCCTTCTCTTTCTAGGGCTCTACCGACTGCTGAGACTTCTCCTAAGCAACCTTTGCGAAGGCTCCCTCTTGTTTGTTTATTTTGACTCATGTATATGTACATAATTGTAACTTATCGGAGATATCAATAAATAAGCTTTGCTTCATTTCAACGTATTGTGTTAAATACATCAAAGCCTTCTTCACTAAGTTCTTTGATTTTTTTTCTTTTGTTGAAGCTTGTATGTTGAAGCTTTGTGAGTGGAGCATGTAGGTTGAGGTAGTGTTCCCTTAATTTCCCGAGTGAGGAAAACTTCTCGGTTGGAGACTTGAAAAATCCAAGTCACTGAGCGGGGTCGGCTATATGAATCTTAGAACACCATTATGCTCGGTCCTGTGTCATGTCCTCCATTAGATCCAAGTACTCTAAGTC